TGATGTAGTTGGTTTTTTTTTATTTTTTTTATTTTAAATGTAAGCCCTTAGAATGTGTCACCTAAAAAAGAGAAAAACATTACTTTTATATATATACTTGCATTTGTCGATAGATATAGATTAATAAATCATATCTTTATCTAAATTTTATTGTTTTTATTTTTTTAAATCAATTATTTAATCTTTATCTTTATTTGTAGGCCATGAAATTAATTTTTATAAGTTAATTATCTATAATTTATGAAATTAATTTTTTTAAATTAATTGTTTAATTTTTATCTTTATCTATAGACTATAAAATTAATTTTCAGTTTTTATATGTTTAGCTATATTAAAGATAAAATTATGTAAAATTAATAAATCTTTTGCACATTTATTTATTTATTTATTTTTACCAACTTAATTTTTATTATGTGTTTGGATGATGATCATGTATTGAGTTGTTGTTAGGATTTTAATGTGTAATCGATATATTTAATATATTAAATATTTTTTGTTTTGGATTTTTTGATTTAATGGATTGGTTTAATAATGATATCAAAGTTGTCGCCATATTTGACTTTTGAAAAAATAAAAACTAATTTAATGAAAATAAAAACAACTACCTATTAAATGATCAGCATCCAAACACATAATAAAAATTAATTTGGTAAAAATAAATAAATATTTAAAAGATTTAAAAACAACTTACTATATAGAAAAGGGGTTTTTTTTTAAGGTCCCTGATATTAAGATTGTATAGCATAAAGGACATTCAATATTTTCATAATGTCTAAAGTCCCTCAACAATATTTTCATAATGCCTAAGGTCCCTCAACCTTGATCCAGAGAAATTTCAGTCCAGAGAAAATTGGTCCAGAGAAATTTGGTCTGAAATTTCTCTGACCCAATTCTTCCTAGAATTTCTCAGCATTTCTCTAATGCATTGGCTGAGTCAAAATTTCTCTGGTCCAATTCTTCTCAGATTTTTCTGGCCCAATCCTTCCTAGAATTTCTCTGATGCATTGACTGACTGGAGAAGTGGTTGATGGAGAAAATTCAATCCAGAGAATTTCTCTCCAGAAAAATTTCTGAAAATTTCTCTGGATTTCAAAATTTCTCTCCAGAGAAATTCTCTGGATTCTTTGTTTGTGTTTTAACCAAATTTCTCTGGATTTCAGAATTTCTCTCCAGAGAAATTCTTATACCAAGGCTTCTAGATCTCAACAGTTACATCCAAGGCTTTAACTTACATATGGAGAAATGGTCTTTAACTTACATGACTGATAACTTACATTTTTGTAGTATCATGACTGGATTTCTCTCCAGATGGTCTTTAACTTACATCCAAAGCTTTTAGATCTCAGCAGTTGAACCAAAAGGTACAGAGAAGAAAAAAAGCATATAAGATCAAGGCTCTACCATAAATATATATATATATATATAATAGAAATTTCGAATAAGCAACAACAAAAAGAGAGAGAAAGAGAGAGAGAGACCTGGTGAGAGATAGCGTAACAGTGGAAAGAGAAGTGAGATCGGGAGCGAAAGGAGGAGACTGACACCGGCGGTGGCGATCTATCTTCTTGAGTAGATTTTAGAGCTTCATCGATGCAAACTTTAATCTGCAGAGTTCCAAACTAGGTTGGAGGAAGATAAAGAGGCAACTTTGTTTATAAACCACTCAGAAACCTCTCGCCAACAAAGCCGACTCCGTTTCCCAGGGCCACGAAAATGTCACTACTTTGATTGAGTTCTTCCAAGCAGACGGTATGTGTAATATAAGGGTACGGGGTGAGGGACCTTAGACTACAACAGAACAGATTGTGGACCTAATTTATTACTAAAAGTTGGATAGGGACCTTAGATCGATTTTCCCGAACCTAAAAGTTTATTTTAAAATTTTGAAATTGTTTTTGTAACAAAATATAAATAATATAAAAATGATAGATGTTTTTAAAATTTTTATTATTTTTATCTCTGGAAAAAAAATAGGTTTAAAATTTGGTTGAGATTGTGTTCGAATTATTTAGATCAAATCTTATAAAACTATTCTCAATCAAGTCTACTTTGTTTTAATAAAATTAATCAATAAAAAAAAGTAATAGTAGTAATATATAAAATTAATCAATAAAAAAAAGTAATAGTAGTAATATATAGAAGATTGTGATAAGTATGTGGGCCAGGGCTGAACTGTTGGCAGTGAGTACGTGGGGATATACCCTTCCCCTTGCCGACAATTGGACCCAGACCCAGATCCCAACTTGCTATTCAATTGGCCCCCACCACCGGCCATTTCCTCTTTTGCTTCGGGGGAAAGGATTAAACTATCTGCCCTTGACTTTCCTGCCATGTTTAAGTTTTTCCCGGAAAATCTCAATCCCACCTGTTGACCAGTTGAGGTGTTACTTAACCATTAAATTATGGATTTGGATTGCCTCCGATCTAAGTTTCAATGGGAGAGTATTGTTTAAGTTCATAGAGTTTATCACAGATTATGTTTTGATAATTTAAATAATTTATTTTATAGAATTTAGTTGTATATATCATTTATTAGGCCAATTAGTTATTGTAACTTGTTCAATTTATTATTTTTGTTATAAAAAAAAAAAAAAGATGGTCTATTTTTAAAAATACATTTGTCGTCTATTTTTTTTTTTTTTTTTAAAAATACAACAAATTGAATAAATTATGATTATCAAGTTGATCTAATTTTTTTTTGTGAATAATATAATCCTACAAAATTGACTACTAAACAAGATTCATAATAGATTCCAATTGAGTGGCATGGAAGCCCAGCCTTCAATTATATTGGTGGCCAATTCCAATGTTAATTTCTTTCTAGATTTGGAGGGTCGATTTAAAGAACTTTTTCAGTTTAAAAAAATAAAATAAAAGAGAGAATAAGAAAGAAAAATAATGGACTCAGCTTGTTTTGTTTGAATTTTTAGGATTTATTTTTTAAAAAATTGAAATTTTTTGTTTTTCGTATTTTTTTTAATTAAATTTTTTTAAATATTTTAAGCAATTTTTAAAATTTTTAGATATATCTAACATAAATATACTTAAAAAGTATAATATTTGTGAAACAATCTTTAAAAAATTCATTAAATATAAAAAATATAAATAAAAAATGAGAATTCAATTCATTTTTCGTATTTTTGTATATTTATTAATTTTTTGAAATATTTTTCTACAAATATTTTACTTTTTAGATACATCTAAGTAAAACGCATTTAAAAAAGTAAAAAAATTGTTTAAAATTTTAAAAATATTTACTAAAAAAAATGAAAAATAAAAAATTTAGTTTTAAAAAAATTAAAACCAAACACACTAATTTTTAATTTTAAAAAAATAAAATAAAATCAAGAAATGAATCTAAAGAAGTAAACAATGTGGCGCGGGTGATATCTAATGGGAAGTGAGGCATCATTGGGCATTGAACTCCTCAATTATTAGGGGACCTCTACCTGGCCAGTATTCATTTGTTTACTTGCTTAAAAATTATTGTTTAGTTCACCAATTAAAGGCTATCTTATTTGAAAGAGAGATTTTTTTTAGCACTAATTTTGAAATTTTAGGTTATGTTATTTATATAATATTTTAAATTAATAAAAAGTTGAAATTTTTTACAAATGGAATACTTTGACTTACCTATACTAAGTAATTGAGAAACAAAAGGGGACTCAAGTAATATCTATTGTAATTTCTTATTTACTAATAAAATCACATAAAGAATATCGCATGAAATGTAGAGATCCATTAAATCTTGAGGAGTAGTTTTGTTATTTCACACTATTTTTTCCTAAGGTTCTAACAATACAGTGTTTTTGAAATTTTATTTTAATTTGAAACAATTAAAATGGTGATATTATACTATAACAGAGTAAAAGGAGGTAAATTCATATAAAATAAAGTCATGATCATCAACTTGTTGGTGTAACAAATTGATATAAAATTTCAGGGAGTAGATTTAAAAGGCCAAAAATCAGAATCAAGTATTCAAGTGTTCCAAATGTCTTGACAATTACTTTGGCCGCATTTCAAATCGGACAATTGCAAGCACTTTGGAAACTAATTGATTGTTCCAAGACCTTCAAACACCTCTATTGTTTTTAATGGGTGTCTCTTTAACTTCATTCTAATAGTTGAAAGGTTCAAATCCTTCATTAAAATTATACATTATAAGCCCTCATACTGAATTGTACAGTCTAGATCCGTAGGTTCACTATAAATTTTATTTTGATCATTTAATTCGTTGTCTTTTTAAGCTCATTTTGTAAATTATTTAACTGAATTGAATTTATTTACCACTTACTTGCTACTTTCAGTATTTTTTTCTACTAAAATATATAAATAATTTTTTCCAGAGGTAAGAAAAACAATATAATGTTAAGAATACTAACTAACATATCTAAAACATATCAATTAGATATATTGTTAAGTGTACCTCACGGTCACATGATGAAATATATGTACCTGTTGTGTCTTAGTTAATGTATTTGAATCTTAAAAGATAAATTAATGATTAAAATTATTTTTTTAAAAGCAATTACTCGATGGAGATTAATTCTACAGAGAGAGAACTCAATTACTCAAAATTTATTAAAAGCAGATTAACAAAGATCCGTGAACACCGTCCATCTAAATATTAATAACACTCAAGATACCCAGCAACAAATTACATTACTAGAATCATGACCGTCCATCTAAATATTAATGAATCGAAATACCCTAGCAACAAATTGGACTCTGTGGATTGAGAAGTTATTGGTTGGTCACGGAATATTACTTCACACCATTTTATTGAGAGTATTGTCTCCAAAAAAAAAAAAAAAAAAACAAGAATATGAAACAAAATTGAAACACCACCTCAGCTTACCCCAGAAGCAAACAATAATTTTTCCTGTGGCTTACCCATCATCATCATCACTTTATAAATAGCACCCTCCATTGGTTTTCTTTCCATAAATCATCTATCTCTACATTCTATCCATTTCCATTCTCACCCTTACTCTACTTTTATTTTTTGCAACCACCACCACCACCACCATCATGGAAGAAGAGAAGAAGCACCACCACCCCTTCCACCACGAGAAGAAGGAACAGACACCTGAGGAGGAGTACAAGCAACATAAGAGTCACGAGCACCTCGGTGAACTTGGTGCTGTTGCTGCCGGTGCTTATGCTTTGGTAATGTTCCAGACACTTGTTAAACACTACTTTTACTCGTACATAAATTAATTCTAGAATCGAATACAATTTTCTCACATAAGTGTGAAATCCACAAAAGGTTGGACTTATTTCATGTGAGATAGTTCAGTAATCAGTAGTTGTGTTTTTATTTTTTCTTTTTATATAGTATTATGTATACCAGCAATACTAAGCAATCAACAATTTTATTTTAAAAAATGCCTAGAAAAGTAAATTGTGTGATTCAAATTTATTTCAATCTTGCAATTTATTTATCAAACTTTATGATCAGATTATGGGTCGAGATCAAGTATTGTAGGTGGTCAAGACTTCTAAGAAATTATGATTTGCTTATTGTCTTTTTAGTGTTTAGGTGGAAACAAACCATCCAAATATATTGTTTTTTCCCTAATTTCATGAAAATATTTGGCAGCATGAGAAACATAAGTCTAAGAAAGACCCGGAGAACGCCCACAAGCACAAGATAGAGGAAGAAATTGCAGCAGCAGTGGCAGTCGGGGCCGGTGGGTACGCATTCCATGAGCACCATGAGAAGAAAGACGCCAAGAAAGAAGGCGAGGAGGAACATGGAAAGAAGCACCACCACCTCTTTTAATTTTTCTAATTTTAATTAACCGTGTTTTTTTGTAGTTTTATCTATGATTTGCTGATCTGTGAGTAACTATCAACTATATATCCTAAATAATGTATGTGAATTTGTGTTGTGTGAGTTGAGTTTGTATTTGTGTTTGTTTAATTACTGGGTCTCTTTTACACTATGTCATGATGACCGAGTAAAAGAGGTGTTATCTGGATCTGTATTCATATGATGTGGTTAATAATATTGTTTGATATGTTTCCATGTTAATGTCAATCTCTTATTTGTTCGTTTTGTCAAGGAGTTGAAAACTGCCTAACTTAACCAAAACCATGTGTCAGGCTTCTAATAATTTCCTAAGAAATTGGGATTAAACTAATGAAATCGCTATATATATATATATGTATATGAAACCAACATTTTTCTTTCTATTTGTCCCATTATTAATGTTTCAACTTAGACACACCACCCTATAACATCAGATGGGTTCTTTCAAATTTAAATATGAATATGAGAGAATTTAAGATACTTAACATTTTTATCAAAATAATCAAATTTTAACTAAAAAATTACTTTTTTACTTTAACTAATCATTTTTTTAAATACATCCTCATTTCTTTCTTTCTTTCCTTTTTCTTTCTTTTTTTTTTTTTTTTCTAACACTCATATTTTTTTTAAATTAACATTTTTCATATGTTCAACTTTCGATCTGATATTTTCAAACCGATACTTTTCTAATGTGTTTTTTTTTTAAATGATCATATCTTTCTAATATAAATAATATCACTCCATCTCTATTTTTTTATCCATTTCAATCTAATTTTCTTTTCAATTCATTCTTTATTTTTCAGTATGCTTACAATTTTGTACAAGAAAAACTATTTTGTTCATACACATGACCATTTAAAATACCCCATTAATTTAAGTAATAAAAAAGTTGGTTGGTTTATACACTTATCAAATATGTTAACAAAATTAAATTTCAAAAAATTGTTGTGTAATCCTTGTCTAATATTTTGTTATTTACATATATTTGTAGAGGCTTGATGGCTAGCTACTTAGGGAGAGGATTTGAGGCTCAACAAATTTGGCAATTGGAAAGGTTAGCTTGATGGAGTATTTGTTTAGTGAATTTTCTTGGTAAAATAGCTAAGGCTCTGTTGATTAGAAAGAAAAGAATTTGAAAAGAAATACTCAATCGGCTTGATGGAGTATATGTTTTCTGGTAAACATTTGATTATGATGAAAATTTTGTAAGCAAAAGATAGAAAATTTTAAAAGTTTAGTTATGGATAACTCATACATTTAGTTTTTCTTGTGTTTTCTTGTATTTTTTTGCAAGAAATAAAAAAAAAATAGTTATAATGCTAATATGAGTTGTACAAGAAAATTAGTTTTCTTATACTTTCCACCATTTTCAAACTAAACAAACTCATAGAAGTTAAATTTTTTTCATTTTCTTTCATTTTCTAAACAAACTGAGTCTAAGAGAGAAATTTGATGTGTTTGATGGAGATGCTCTTATAAAGCTTACCACTGGTTTTGTTTCGATGATTCAAACAGTTCATTTTATAAAAGATTCAATATATATTATTCATAAAAATTAAAAAAAAAAATCAACTTAATAATTGTAAGTTTTTTTATTTATTGGTGTTTGTTTTCGGAAAAAAATAGACGTTAAGTATGTTTTTAAAAATATATCATTTATTTTTTTTAAGACACAATACAATGAAAAGGCTTCAATATTTACTCAATCGGCTCAGCAAGAAGTAGAAAAAAAATGGAGGAGGGGAATTTTTTTTTAATATTCCTGATATTAAGATTTTATAAGATAAAAGACATACAATATTTTCATAGTAGTTAAGGTCCCTTAACATTTTCATAGAAAAAATTCGACTTAGAGAAGTTTTGTCCAACTCAGAGAAATTTCAATTTTCACAGAAAAATTTCAAAATTTCTTAGGTATGATCACAAAGAAATTTCCAAATTTCTCTGAGACAGCAAAATTTCTTTGAGTCAAATTTTCTCTATGAAAATGTTGAGGGACCTTAGCTAATAAAAAATAATAATATTGGACTTCTCCTACTATATAAAGTTAGAGAGAGATGTTTCGCTAATTTTTTTTTTTAAAAAAAAGTGAGTGATGGAAAATGAATCATTAATTAATCTAATTATTGCGAAATTTATTGAAATTGAAATGCAATTGCATGCTTTAGACATGCAATCGTCCAACTTCTCATTATTTATTTGCTTAATAATACGAAATCAATTTCATGAAGAAACAGCTTCACCAAATTTAATGAAGAAAAACAAGTTGGAGCAAAATTTAATAGAGTAATGGTAGAACCTCCAAAAGTTCTACTAAAATTTTAACGTTAGAAAGTGTGTAAAAAGTATCTTAAAAATATGTAAAAATATTATAAAGTATATTAATTTCAATAAAATGCAATGAATTTAGTAAAAATTGATTTATGTTTTAATTTTTTATTTTATTTTACATTATACTTGTGTCCTAGGAGCACTTGTTAGTAAGACGCATTTAATATAATCACCTTAAATACATACTATCTTACCAAAAATTAATAGTCTATGATTTGTGGTTATCTTGAAATTTTGCTTCTTTTTTTTTCTTTTTTCAAAATTTGTTAAGTATACAACAATGACATTTGTGGTATATATGGCCCTGTTTGGTAGAACTGTGGAAAAGTGCTTATAGCTTATGCCTTAACAGCTTCTGACTTATAAATTAAGCAAAGAATAAACTGATTTCTGACTTACAAAAAGCTAGAAACTGAATTGTTAAGCTAAACCAAACACATCAAAATAGCTTAAATTAAGTTGAAAGTTGAAATAAGCAGCTTTTAAGCTACACCAAACAGCACCATGATACTACAAAAGCTATCTACAAAATACAAAAGGAAAATATTAGGGTCATTTTATAAGGCAGATTGACATCACTATGAACTTGTTGAATGAAATTATGTATGTTATGAAATTATTTCCATTAGAGTGGATAAAAGATGAGATAGATTTAAATAAATTATTTTTTACATGAATGGTAGAGAGAAGATATTTCGGTAAGAGAATTGTTTATCTTAAGAAAAGGTGAGATTCAATAGTATTTCAAATGGACAATTAACCGCCTCTATACCGGATTACAAATCCGAGTAAACAGACATGACGTAGGAAAACCTCAAGTAACAATCATACAACTAAAAGTGTATTAAAAATAAAAGTCATCAATTTTAAAGACAAAAGATCCCATGTCAAACCCTAAGTATGAGAATAATATTAGATAAGCTTAAATTCATTTTACCTTCATATCATTCAAATATAGTCAGAAAGCTCTCATATAGTCAAAAAAACTCCGTGTCAAACCCTAAGTGCAACCATTAGTACCGTTAACGATAGATGTAAAATGACTATAATACTCTTAAATCTTATATTTTTTTGTTATTTTCTTTTTCTCTCATGTCTAATACATATAATTTATAATGTCTAACATTAATTTAATTAAATCACAATTAATTATAAATTCTTAATTATTTATTGTAACTCTTAACTTTTTATTCTAATTTTAATTTAATTATATTTTATATCACAATTAATCCTAAATTCTTAATTATTTATTATAATTCCTAACATGTTAATCTAATTTTAATTTAATAATATTTTAGTTCAATTCTTAATTATTATTTATTTTACATTTTATTTAATTATATTTTAAACCAATTCTTAATTATATTTTATATTTTAGATCAATTCTTAATAATATTGTAATTTAATTTATTTTAATTAACATATTAATCTAATTTTAAGTTTGGAGGAAATAGGGGTAAATTTGTATTTTTGTTGTATTAATTTCACTTTAATTTTCAAAAAATTTTTTTTAATACTTTAATTTAAATAGAAAAATTAATGATAATACTTTAATTCAGAATCACAAAAAAAAAAAACTTTTTAATTATATTTAAACAAATAATATTATATGCAACAATTAATATACTAATTAGTGTATCAATTGATTATATGACATAATTTAAGAAATTTTTAGTATTTGTAATGTAATTAATAAGTATGATCAATAATAATGTCATAACTAATATTAATATATTAAGTAATAAATTAATTAATGCATGTGGCACCACAGTATTTGAACTTTCTGACTCCAATTAGCAGTAAAATGAATTTAACCCTATTGGGCAGGTGGTTGACTAAAATAATAAGTTGGAATCGCAGATAATGGAAAGTTTGGTGAATCTGCCGAGAGATATTTAGCTTTGCCTTATTTTCATCCATTCAATTATTGCCAAGGAACGTGATTGTTACTATTATTATTATCATTATTATTATGTCTAATAAAGCTGAAAACTGTGTGTCCAAAAGGTTTGGCTTCCCTCCGACTGTGATCGGATTAAAAGGTGTTGTTGAATTTGTAAGAGTTTATTATGTGTCTCGTTTTGATAATCTAAATTGTTAATATGTAAAACTTGTCGATTATTATATGTCTCTACAAAATTACGTTGATCGGATATCGATAGCTACATGATCAAATTAGTTTTGTATAAAAAAATAGACGGTGTAAAAATAAACGGTTGACTGAAATTTGATCCGATAAAATAGTTATCGATATCCGATCAATATGATTTTTTACTGACATATAGTAGTTAATGAGTTGTACACGTTGAACGATTCGAATTATCGAAACAGGACCGGTAATAGCTTTCCACAAGCTTAAAAACACTCTCTAATCTATGATTAAACTAGAGGGAAGCCAATCCCTGTCCAAAATATCCTTCGCAAAGGTGTCTTCATCCATTTGGGTGGATCTTCTATTTGTTTCCATTATTACATGACCCCAGTAGTCTATATATATTATCATCACACCCAACAATTCATGACATTGCACAAATCACTTCACTTGGGGTCATTGAATATGTTTCACGTTTGATTCTATTGTTTCCATTAGAAAAATATTAGAGGTCTTAAAATTTTATTAAATTTTTTACTAAATATTTCATATAAATATGAAATTCGCACCATATAAGTCTCATATAGATTTTATATTTATATAAAATATTTAATTAAATATTTTATAAAATTTTTAAAATTTTTAACATTACCCAATTATATAATATTGAAAAAATAAAGGTTTTTCTATTCTATTGTATTCTATTCTGTAAAGAAGAAGAAGAAAAAGCGAGAGACAAATACAGAGAGAGAGAGAGAGAGAGAGAGAGAGAGGGATGTGATTACTAAAATATAGGGATGTGATT